GGAATAAAAAATTCACGGAGACGGCGTTTTCCCAGCAGATATCCCGGAATATTCCCAGGAGCAGATCTGCAAGGTCAGGGGGAAATTTTTGGGAATCGTCCGGGAATTTCGGGATGCGGGATGGGAATCGCTCAAAGTGGGAAAGGAATGGGGGGAAAAGGAGGGAAAATCCCAAAGGGAAAAAAAAGGGGGGAAAAGCAAAATGGGGAAAAAATGGGAAAAAAAATCGGGAAGAAAATACAGGAAAAAACGGGGAAAAAAGCAGGAGAAAAGTGGGATCCAATGGGATCTGATCCCGCATTCTCTTCCTTTTCCCAGGATTTTGTGACTTTCCTGGATAAACTGGTGAGAAGCTGGAAGGATTTTGGGATTTCTGGGATGATCCCAAATATTTGGGATGGGTGGGAAATCACAGCTGGAAGAATTCTGGGATTTCTGGGAATATCCCAGCTAGAAGAATTCCAGGATTTTCCCAAATATCCGGGATGGGTGGGAAATGACGGCTGGAAGGATTTTGGGATGATCCCAAAAATCTGGGATGGGTGGGAAATCATGGTTGGAAGGGCTTTGGGATTTCTGGGATGATCCCAAAATATTTGGGATTGGTGGGAAATCACAGCTGGAAGGGTTTTGGGATTTCTGGGAATATCCCAGCTAGAAGAATTCCATGATTTTCCCAAATATCCAGGATGGGTGGGAAATCATGGTTGGAAGGGTTTTGGGATTTCTGGGATGATCCCAAATGTCTGGGATTTCTGTGAATCACGGCTGGAAGAATTCCAGGATTTTCCTAAATATCTGGGATGGGTGGTAATCCCAACTGGAAGGATTTGGGATTTCTGGGATGATCCCAAATATTCGGGGTGGGTGGGAATCACAGATGGAAGGATTTTGGGATGATCCCAAAAATCTGGGATTGGTGGGAATTGCAGCTGGAAGGATCCTGGAAATGAGAGGAAAAAGGAAAAAAAAAAGGAGGGGAAAAAACCACAGGAAAATGGGGGAAATGAAGGAAAAAAGGAGGAAAAAAGGCAGAAAAGACCAGAAAAAATAGGGAAAATTAGGGGGAAAAAAGAGAAAAAAAAATGGGAAAAAAGGGGGAAGTGAGAGGAGGAAAAGTGGGGAAGAGAAAAGAGAAAAAAAAAGAGAAAAAGGGAAAATTGAGGGAAAAAGGAGGAAAAAAAGGTGGAAAAATGCGGGGGGGAAAGGAGGAAGAAAAACAGAAAAAAAAA